CGGGACCTCCTGACCTCCGCGCGGCTCCAAAGGGCCCGAGCGACCCCGAGCCTCCGTCTGCAAAGCCCACGGGGTGTGTCCTCCCGGCCCCAGCCGGCCCCCACCTGCAAAGAGTAACTTTGTTTCACTTAGTAGCGATGACAGCGCCTGCTAAGTGCCAGGTGCCTGCTACGCGCTGTATCCCATTGAAGTCCCCCTGCAGCCTTGTGGGGCGAGCACGGTTGACACGATCCGCGTGCACAGGTGACCAGAAAACCGAGGCACAGAGACGTTAAGTATCTCGCTTAAGGTCACCCAGGTGGTGGACTTGGCATTTGAGCCCCAGCCCGAATGCTTAACATGTTTTAGCTCCAGGCCTCTAATAGTAACATTGTTCTTCATCTATGTGAGACACACCTGGTGTGTTACATTCTGAAATCAGTCTGTGTTCTCCGCTCCAGTGCCATGAGGATGTGTCCTAGTTTAACTGGCAGCAATTATATAATTTCCTGGTGTATCCATGTATCAGCTTCAGTGGAATCAGTGATACCAAAGCGCCCTATGTTTATGCATGAACTCGTTGAGCGTTCAGAGCAGGCCTAGGAGGTGGGGGTCAGGGTTATCGTTCCCGGTTTATAGATGGGGAAGTCGAGCCACAGGGGCTAAGTAACCCTGCTCAAGGACACAGGGCTAGTAAATGGTGAAGCTGGGGTTTGAACCGGGCAGTCTGAGGAAATTGAGGCACAGAGAGGTGACGTAACTTGGCCAGGGTCACACAGCTGGTGCGTGGTAGAGCTGGGCTCCTGGCTCCAGAGCTTGTCCTCTTAATCCCCTCTAATCAGTCACCTTATTTGGAACCTTGGGGAATAAGTCTTTTTATTCTTTATGGAAAATAACCATAACATATAATGTTTATTGACCGTTTACTAAATGCTGGACACTGTTCCAACCACTTTACGTGCGCAGGTTTGTTTAACCCCCACAACAGTCCTATGAAGTAGCTACTATACGTGGTTAGTTCCATTTGACACAGAACCTCTGGGAGGTGAAACTTGCCCAGGTTCACCGGACAGTGAGAGCAGCCTCGGGATTTCAAAGCTGGGCTCTCTGGCTCCAGATCCCTCCCTTTCATTTATTTATTTTTAATCTTTTCCTTTTTGGGCTTCGGGAGCAGAGTTGAGTTTATTACCTTCCTCCCGTTTATGGTTTGTCATCTTCCTCATTCTGGGCAAAGTCTCTCCTATTTCATTATTTTCCCCACTGATCCCCAATCCCTGTGCCCTCCCTCCCCCCACCACCCTAGACCCTCACTCAGGTGTTTCTGTCCTTCTGTCTGTGCGCGTCCTCAGCAAAGCCAGGCGCTTATGCGGCATGTACCACGCTATCCAGACCAGGGATGGACAAGCCCCCCAGGCCAAAACCCACCCTTTGCCGGATTTTGTACAACCCACAAGCTAAAAATGGTTTTGACGTATTTAATTAGTTGAAAAAAATCAAAAGGCTAATATTTTGTGATACGTGAAATGTATATGAAATTCCAGTGTCCGCGTCCATCACTGTTTTGGGGTACACAGCCACGCTGATTCGTTTACATATTGTCTGTGGCTGCTCTCCGGTTGCATCGGCAGATCGTATGGCACAAGGCCTAAAATATTTACTACCTGGCCCTTTACAGGGAAAAAATTGCTGACCCCTGCTCTAGATGTTAGGGGTACACTGGTGAACATATATTTTTAATTTATCTAAAAAGAATGATGATTTAACTTGGGGAGGTACATATCACGCATCATCCGACCTGGAACTTTTGAGAGTGAAAGGGGGACTATTGTTGCTTGAGGTTTGGAATTTGTCCATGGTGTAGATATACATCTAAACAGGGCTCAGCAAAGGCCGGCCCGAGGGCCAGATCTGGGCCACAGCAGTTCTTGTACAGCCTGTATGCTGAGATTTTTAAATGGTTGGGGGGGAAAAAAAAAATCAAAGGAAGAATAATTTTGTGATACATTAAAATTATATGAAATTCAAATTTCGGCATCCATACACAGTCTTCCTGGATAGCCACGCCCCTCCATTTGCATATATCTAAGGGCGCAACAGAGACCCTGAAATAAGTCCTACCTGGCCTTTTACAGAAGGGGTGCCAGGCCTGCTCTGGATGGTTCGACCTGCCGCAGAGCGTCCTCCTGTGCGACTCCCGCGTGAACTTGCTTGTTTCCCTGGGAAGGTCCCTTGTTCGTCCCCTGGTTTCCCGGGGGGCCCAGAGGGAGAACATCTCTGAGACCCATCGAAGTGAGACAGCTGGCCTACGGGGTGGACACACTTAACGTTCCTTCCTTCTGTGGCGTCACAATTTCTAAGACTTTTCAATTGTTCACTATTTGACATTCCATCAAGCAGCGCTGAGATGTCCCCCTCTCCGCATACCATTTGTAAACGCATTGATTTAGTCAACAGGGGTTCACTTCGCGGACTGAGTGCTCGCTTACTTAGGCGCCGGGGGTACAGCAAAGGGGCAAAGGAAAGGGTCTGCCCCCCGGGGGCTGGCAGTGGCCACTGCTGTCTTCACGGAGCCCTGCGCGGGCACAGGCAACCTCCCCGGCGCTTGGCGCCAGCTGCTGACACCCTCACAGCCCCTCGCTGATGTAGAGAATATCATCTCCGTGTTCCAGGTAAGGGAACCAGCTCAGCCCGCCAGCGCGGCATCGACCTAGGACCCAGGAGATCGCGGTTCGATTCCCGGTCGGGGCACAGGCCCGGGGTGCGGGCTCGGTCCCCGTCGGGGGCGCGCAGGAGGCAGCCGATCAATGACTCTCATCACTGATGTTTCTGTCTCTCTCCCTCTCCCTTCCTCTCTCTGAAATCAATAAAGATATAATTTTTTTTTTAAAAAAAGAGAAAGACAGAGAGCCCGCTCAGAAATGCCAGGGTGGGTGCGAGCTGCAGCTGGGACTGGTTGTGGCACCGGCTCTCGGCGCCTCGCTCCCCTGCCTCTCTGCAGTTTTGCCAACACTCCACCCCTCTCATTCCCACCTTCCTAATTTTTTGCTCTTCTGATGAGTGTAAAGTGCTCTCTCCTGATGTCGTTTTAATTTGCATTTCTCTGATATCTAGTGAATTAGAATATTTTAGGAATCTGGGCTCTTCACTCTTAATTTGCTTCTTGAAATCAAACTGGTAGATCTTCTAAACAAGGTAAGGAAAAAGTTCCAACAGAAAAACTGGCAGACGTGTCGTATACATGTCTGCCCCCCTTATTGCCACTTGAGGCCTGTGTTCTAGCAAGGGACACACAGGCCTTGGCGTGATGTGCTTCCTGCAGACCACCTGGGGTCGAAGTTCAGCCCACTCACCAGCCATGTGACTTCTTGCAAATTACTGATCATTCTGGGCCTCTGTTTGCTCGTCTGTAAAACGGGGCAGTCCCAGCCCCTCCTGCGTAGGATTGCTGGCGAACTGAAGTGCTTGGCACATAGGAGGTGCCACTGAATAGTAGCTACTGTTATTAACCCTGTCAGTGCTCACAG